GCCTATGCGATGGTCAGACTTCTTCGTGAAAGCTCTGAACGAATGGTATGAAGTTCATGTCCCTCGAGCAGAGAGAGTTCATTGGGCAACTCTTGCACGTTGCAGGGACGAATGGAGACGTTACTGGCGCCCGCTCGAGGAACTCGATGATCAACGGGAGCACAGGTGATACAGGTGATACCCACTCGGACCGCATGCACTTACAGGAATTCAAAAGTGCTATTTAGGGCATACAGGCGAGGATGAACTTATGCCAACTAGCAGGCCTATTACGCGCTCCATCCGAGGATCAAATCAAGGATCGCCTTTTGCCCAGGCCATACAAGCCTTCTGCCCTCCGGGAACGGAAAATTGGTACCAGATTTGTCTGGGAGGACAAGAACACTGACTTGTACATCGGCTGGCCCCCGCAAGTCATTTATAGGCCACATCGCATTCAGTAAGCCACGTCTTCAGCTCTATTGGGGACCATCTGACCGCCCTGACGTCCTCGTTACTAACTCTGTTCGATTTGAGCCGCCAGTGGTTTTTGCATCCAACCAGCAGTCGCTGCGGTAGAGTATGGCCCACTACGCTCTTACCACTACCCGGTACACATTGCCCTTGCGCGTTCTTAAGCACCCGCGGTCGCAGAAGATGCACTGCCTGCGCATGCTGACGCCTGTGCACTTCCTCTAATTCACCCAGGCTGCACTGGTTCGAGCTTTCAGCGTATATTCCTGACTACCATCAGCTACTGGACTGCTCCCTAGATACTTGAATCCTCGACCCTTTCCATGCTTCGCCGTGGCGGTCTACGGTGCGTTCGGTGCACACGGAGCTCAGGAACTTAGTCTTCTTCACGTGCAGTCGTGTCCCATTCCCAGCGAGTTCATCCTGCCACCTTTGCACCCTGCCCTGCACTTCTTCCCTGCCATCCGCTATCAGGGCAATGTCTCAGCGTAGAGGATGGTTTTCAGCGCCCCAGCATGAGTGTACCCAACCGCGATTTCTACTTACTTTGTCAAGCCATATGGGGTGCGTATAGCTGGCTTAGCCCTGTCGTATATGTCCTTCACAGTGGAAGTGAGCTGTTCCGGGACATTTCGTTCTCTGAGCGTTCTCCGGAGCATCATCATTATTGTCAATACCATTCAACTGCTTTGAAAATATATACTGTAATGTTTGTATGTTTAGCGGAGGAGCTGCCCAACCCACTAATCGGAAGAAAAGTAAAGAGCCTGTCAAAGATGATAAACTAAAAAAAGGCGAATCAGAACGGAAGCAAAGGGAAGCAAACAAGGTGGAGTAGTACCATTTTATTGAAATGCCAAGAAAGATAGCGCGAAAACGAAGAAGAGACAGCAATAGACATCGGGCAGACTGGTTAAATGCTAGCAATGCGCACCAAAACAGCTCGCGATAAAAGGTGCAGTAATACAAGAACCTCCTCGGCAGGCATGAAGAGCACAGCTGATGGCGTGCGAGACCGAGATCTTGGTAGCGCTAAAAGCGTAGGTCCGCGAGAAATCCTAGGACGAGAAATCGTAACAATTGTCATTTATAATGACTTCTTTGCCATTTGCACATTAAGTTTTGCGAGCTGCTAAGACCACTGAGAAGTGCAAATTCAACTATGCTGTTTATGTTGTCCTAGCGCAATATACTTGGCGGCGCAGAGAGAGGAACTTCCGAACTTTGAGAAATGATCGGGTCTCTGAGGGCGACGACGTTCTCGGAAAGTGAGACCCTGTCATCAACGGAAGGGGGGGGGTCGACCCCTGTGAGAAGGTTCAACCTAACAATCTCAATCGAGAGAGGCAGACACTCTTGCCCTGTTTGAATGACATCTCTGGCATAGCCTTATGAGTAGCGCGTGATGTGAAGTCATACGGCAACTTTATAGTAAAACAAAGCGAGTGATTACAGGTCCCAGAACAGCAATCACAACCTCGACAACGTGGAAGTGAAGTGGTGAGCCTTTTGTGCTATTCGCTCTCTGGCCTTCGCTCAACAGCGTGCCGCTACAAAAGAATCAACGATGTGCTCCATTCGAAAACTGCTGCTTTGCCTATTCCGACCATAACAACCGTTACTTTTTCCTAACAGTTGCATGGCAGTCGCTCCCTTAACAGTCCCTATTGTGGATTATTTATGACAAAAAAAAAGAGGTAATACCTTGTAAGCGCTAGTAAGGGGCAACATAGAGAGAGTACCACTGAATTCGACACGCCCTGCGGGTGACAATATACGTTTGCGTTCACAATTCTATGTGGCACGAGCGGCGTATGTAAAGGCACAGGTGGTAAATGGTTGAAAGTGAGGCGAGAGCCTGACTGACGACTTGAGTAGACTCCTGCTGACATGCCAGGCGATGGCGCGAATGAGGGTATAAGCTACAATATGGGACCAGTTTCATCTCTCAAATCAAAGGTTGACCGCAGCGGGACCTTTACTCCTACGCCGACGCTGAACGCATCAACCTGCTTGGCATAGGGGTTTTTTCCATAACATCAAGCTGGTATCATTTCGTAACTTATCATGACTTATCATGTCGTGGGCATCATTGTATTATCATCTGATAAGGAGCACAAGAGCAAATGTCAGTCTATTATACTCTTAGTCGAACTGATTCGTCTAGCACGTGACGACATCCTTTCTCATTTAATATGGGAGGTATTGAAATTTCATTTCAACAGCATCCGTGTATCAACGGATGATAAGTTTATGGAAATGTCATGAGTTATAAGGATTGATTATATGGTAAGTGATCGACAGAATTGAGATGTAGCTGAAGAAAGAGTAAATACAAGAAGAATTAAATTCGCGAAGGAATGCAAAGCAACTTTCGTGATCGTGAGATGGACGAAGAGTGCATCGGCGACGTCTTACTGCGACCAGGCAAACGTGGGTATTCGAAGTGTCCACTCTTTCATGGCACTTCACACAGACCGGACCACAAGATGTGCCGCGAGACGCGCCGATTCATCGGCAGGGCACATCGTTGTGAGGGAATCCTAACAGGGGGAGGGGGGAGGGGGGAGCGGGGTATAATGTAGACGTCAGGAGAGGGGGTCGTAATTGGGCTGAGGAAAGGGAATGGAGGTCGTATTCACTTTTTGACGCTTCTAGAATGGTTGGAAGTGGTCGTTGACTTTCCGTGATTTGTTTCATGTGTAGTATGTACCCTTCCCCCCCCCCTCCCGCTCGACAGCAAAATTTTTGGGAAAAAGTAGGGAAGTTTTCGGGAATTTTGGAAAAAGTGGCAGAAAGTTGGGGAAATCTGAGAATTGGTAGAAGGGGGGGGTCGTACTGTCCTCGCGGCCTTTCCTGTTTCACATGTGCTATCTACCACCGCCACCCCTCTCCCTCTCCCCCACTCGACGGCTCGATCTGATGAGTAGGGAAAGGGGTCGGAGGGAGGTCGCGTACCAACCCCCCAAAAGGGGGGGGGGGGGGGTGTTGCCGTCTACGGCTCGTTCAAAATCTCCAACCGTGATGTCCCTGTCAACGCGCCATAAATGAGTACGAAAGAATATGGAGCCATCGCGGCGTAAAATGAGACAAAGAATAGGAGCAACCGGCCAGCAGGATGACATGGCGACGGCAATCGACCGGCAAGCACCCGGGCTGAGACCGGAGAAGCGAAGGATTCCTGCACTTTCAGCTCTCCTCATCGTTCGCCTTGATGCAACCATGCCGACTGGCTCCCTTCGAGCCATACTATGAACGCTTGCACGCGCGTACGCACGTTACAATAGTAATGGTACACATATCCAGTCAGTAGGCTCCGTAGTGTTGCTTACTGTGAATGTGATTAATACAGTTATGGGCCAGGAAAGCAGCACTCTCAAATAAATGAACTCCAGAAAGAACTTCATTTCGACATGTTTAGGTAGCGAAATGGGTCATGCGAGCTCTGAACACGGGAGTAGACGCTCTTAGGGCAGAATACAGATCTCTTGCTCGATATACTTTACCTGATGCAACCTACGAAGCCTTCAAGGCAAACCATGAGGCCGGAAGGAACAGGTACGTAGCACCGACCAGTATTGCAGTAGAAAGAATCTTCACGCTCACCTTTTTCGGATGGATAGTAGTCTTCATACATTACAAAAATTGAGGATATGGTTTTTCTTCCATATGGAGGGATGTTTGTTATGCTCGACGATCCCACAAGATGGTTGTCCTCAAGTGAGAAAAAGCATCTCGGAACTTCTGAAATGCCACCATCAACACATACATTAACACAGACATGACTTGATGCTTTCGACACTTTGAGGACAACCAACCTGTTAAAACGTCAGGCATGATGGTTATCCTACTATATATAATCCGTTAACTATGTCTGTGTGTGTCCGTCCGCCTGTGTGTCACGAAATTCATAGCGCCCGTCCCAGTAGCAGTGAGACATTGGTTCCAAGAAGTGATGTAGGGGTGTGACGGGAACACTATCGGTGGGTGACAGGACGTGATATCAAGATAAGGTCCGATAAGAGGGTCAGAAGAGGAGGGTCACCAAGTACATAGCGCAGCTCGCAGCACCAGCTATGTGTTGATTACAAGATAGAATGCAGGGTATGGAACAGGAACATCATTGGTGAGTTGCAAGATCTGAAAGCTGCTGACAAGATTCGATAAGAGGCGTTAGAAGGGAAGGTCACCATATTCATAACGCGGGTGACAGCATCAGCTAGCTCTTGATTCCAAGATATGATATAGGGTATGGACAGGAACATTATTGGTGGGTGACAAGAACTGAAAGCACCTGATAAGATTCGAAGCGGTGGAAGGGTAAGGTCAACGTAATCGCAGCGCAGTCACAGCGCCCGCGAGACGTTGGTTCCAGCAAGTGATATAAAGGTGGAGGCGGGGACATCAGCGTGCGTTATAAAAAGCGATAACAACTGAT